CAAAGAAATTGCAAGAAACTACAAATCACGTGGCATAGTTTATTGTCTTACAACTGAATACCCTCAAGGCAACAGGAATGTTATGCAAATTAACATAAATGCATAATCGAGTTTGTTGACCCGTCTAACCAAGTTCACCAAAGTTTATTATCCTCAACTTCATACAGAGTGCTGGAAACACCTCGGCCTAAGACGTTCAAGCTCATACTACAGCAGAATCGCATCTGATGCCACTCTGACTCTATTTGGTGACACGCCTCACACCAGGTATATTCTTTGTCATCCAATAAAGTTGCTCTCTTTGTGAAGAATGTAACAATTCGTGCATGCAATATATGTATTACAAATTTCTTTATTTCTCCAGCAAAAAAAAATATTCCCTTTCTGTATAAATTACGTATGTATTTAATAGCTTACGAGCCTAAAAAGGAGGGCGTAATACATGTAAATCAATTAAACTTTGGATTCCTGACAGCATTGATATACAAGATAGGATCTGTGAGATTTGGACGTTAGTGAAAATATATACGTTCTCACATATTTTAACTCCTATGTGAAACAGCCTGTAATATTCAAATTTGTACAACTATTTGTTAGCTTTGAATGAATCTATCATATTACTATTATATTATATAATTATTAATCTAATAATATCACGAGATATTATTATAATATTATTATATCGCACTAAAAATATTTATAAAAATATTTATAATGTTTGTATGGTTTATTACATAATGAATATAAAAAATTATTTTAACATTCAGAAGACTATATTGTCACTAAGATTAATCTGCTGTGAAAAGTGTTCATACTTTGTTAGTACCCCTTTTTGCAAGTAAAGTCATTCCTTGTATTACGTGTCAAATATTCTACCAAAAATTACACAAAGTTAAGGTACATGATAACTTAACATTCAAAAATATATAACAATTGAATGAACTGACAAATACTATTATATATGTCTTGACAATACTGTCCACGGGTATAATGTTTATAAGGCTTTGGATATAAGGCGTTGTAATTGATTATTTAGACCTTTTTGTGGGTATCATAACATATAATATCTGTAACATTGTGATGAATGTTGCAGCATTAGTATGTACCGATTGTTCTATTTGTTTGCCCTGAAGCTTCGAAATTATATGCTATATTTATGATGTACATTATCGTGCATGAATTGGGGACTCGACAGTCCTTGACGCTGTACCATGACCTACCTAGTAATTATTTAGCAATTTACCAAATAACTATTGTATTTACTAACTATCGTTGGTAAATACACAAATCTACAAGGTTGTCTGCAGCATAATCTCTTCATTATTTCCTCCGTTATTAATCGATAATTTTGCATATGTCCTTAAAAGAAATAAAAAGAGAGCGTTGTTAGGGAATTAGAACATTCTAAGTGCATGCATATTCACTGTATTAAATGTGAATAAAACATCACATTTAATAGTGTATGGTCTCATTTTTATATTATAAGTTTATTACGATAATACCTCAAAGTATGCACGAGAACAGTACAGCTAGGTATCGACCGACGCGCATAATATACATCTTTTCCTTCCAAGGATTCACCATGGCAATGCCGAAATTCGAAATGTTTAGAA